TACCAACTCAGAGGAACTACATGGGCAATGTACTCCCATTTCTGGAAGTGGTGCCTCTCCAAACCAGGCACACGGTGTGACAGTCTGGGGTTTTCCCGGGAGCACTCCTGGAGTGACACAACTCCTTCTACCCACAAAGGAATGGCAACATCCTGAGATGCTCATGGTGCAGGGCACCACAAGGTCACAGCCAGGACAGTTCTGCCAGCCCCACCTGCCGGAGGGTTGTTCCCTGCTCCCTTTGCCAGGAACCTGCCTTCATTTCCACACACAGCTGGAAACTGTTCAGGGCTGGATGGATGAGCAGATGGTCACAGAGCTACTGAATGTTCAGGTTTCCCTAGCTTCAACCTGTCTTTCTGACTGGAAATTGAATGCAGACGGGATCTGAGGTCTCTGGGGCATTCAGTGTGGGTCCCTGGATGAACCACTGCAATGCAAGGGGAGGACCAGTGCCCATACAGTTATCTGGGAATCCCAAACAGAAATAGGGGAATCAGGTATGTTGAACCACACCATCTTATGCTTCTTGAGAAGGGGGAAAGCGATAAACAGCAGAAATATGCTGGAAAAGCCTCATTGACGCAGCCTTGGGGGACCTTTTTCGAACACTCAAGCCTCACCTTTAGACACAAGGATGCACACGGCCATTACTTGACTCCTGGCACAATGAAATGTAGCAATTAGTGATCATTTTAGCCTCAGCATGTGCAGCAATGCAGTGTGCTAGCTCTAGGTTTCTACTCCATGCCTCAGCTCACAGGAGCTGTAGAACGGTCTGAGTCAGCCAAGGGGCAGAAAAACATCACTTTCAGCAACATTGCGTGATCAAGGGGACCCTTGAGGGGTGGAAAAGGTCATGAATTCCCCTATCCCAACCCTGGCTCTCACTGCAACTGTGGCAAATTAACTCCTCTATCTTCCTCTACAAAGTGGGGATACTATTTGCCTACCTCACAGGAAAGCAGAGAGATAATTACCACGGAAAACTAAAGACTCGGCTCCAGAACTTACTACATGAAGAAATAAGAAATGAAATACTGAATGAAGCAAGACTCCACAAGCGTCACTTAACTCTGACATCTGGAGGTTCCAGCCCTCCAAGGTCTTAGCAGCAGCAGGGCTTAGCCTAACATCTCAATGTTCCCTAAGGGTAAGAGCTCGCTATACCAAGAGTGGATCTGTATGGTTCAGGCAACTGGAAGCTCTGCCTTTCTGTCTGTCTGAGCAGCACCTACTAAGGTGCTAAAGGGTCCTAAGAAAGAAATAATGCACCACTGTAAAGTACATTTATATTCACACACACCCCATTTTTCCAAGCAGTAATCGAGAGTATTATGTTACCTATGGTTGAAATGATTAGTCATGTTTCCAAAGATTAATTTACATGTTCTTTTGTTTAATGTGTATGAACTGATTTAATGGCTGCTTACAAACTGAGCTAACAGTCATTTTGAGAAACAGATGTCTGATGCAGTTTTAAGCATTAAGAGTGCTTTTATTCATATCCTTAGGAGAAAAAGGGCTACACAGTCTACAGTAATAACACTAATGAATTGGAGTACCACAGCTGCCCAACATGGTTCTGACAGAAACCAGTTTTTTCTCAAAGGAACTTTTTTTTTAGGACTCTGGGACAGTGAACAACTGGTAGTATGCATGCTTTACATGTAAGTATGTGCTTTGCTGGGGCCAGAACACTGAATCAAGTCCTATCTGCACCCAAACAAAGGGAGGCTTTTGTGTAAGTGCTGAAAACTGTAACTACACAAAAGCAGTGGAATCTGTATGGAATTCGGATCCTCCACATTTTATACCAATAAATATTGGAGAGTTTGAGTGCTTCTGATACAATTTTGTGACACCGAATGCAGAACAGGTTGTCGCCTTTAAGCTCTGATAGATTATTGTGTGTGGGTGGTAGGGTTAAGATGAAAGAAAGGGAAGAAAGCTACTAGGAAAGCAGTTGGTGGTTGCAAATCTATGATAAATAAACAGCACATTCCTCTTCTGCACAATTCCATTAGAGTCTGTGTCAGACTTTAAGATCCTAATGTCATTTGGGTGCAAATTTGACAGCCTGGGGTTCTGCAGTGCTCCCTATGGAAAGCAGATTTGGGATCTGAAACAATTTGCCATGCCCCAACAGCGTTGCTGTCAAGTTCCCAAGGAGCCTCTAACGTAGTAGTTATTCACAGGACCCTTGCAATGAACCATGGGTTTGATATTTTATGGTCTGGTGTGTACAGTGCAGGATATGATTACACACAAGCCTGCTTCCCATCAGCCACCACCTCGTAATCGTTAACATATTTATCCTTGTGGTGCCTCAAGAAGATGACATTGTTATTAGTCCCATTTTATAGATTCAGAACTGAAGCTCAACAGCTAAATGACTTGCCTTTGATTACACAAGATTTACACTGAAGGACAGAACTGAGTTGTAAACCTATCAGGCTCAAGCAAGGATTGCACCAGAAGGACTAGATCTATGTGCAGAGCTGTCCTTCATCTCAGGTGCTTGAAAGTATTATGAAATTACTGTATCTGCACTGGTTTTCTGCTTTTGTGTCTCATCCTTTGCCACTGCAGCTATCTGTAGTGAATATGATGTAGATATATTACTACATGCAAAAGCTAAACTCTTTTAAGTTACATCCCTCTGTAGCTGCTGAAGACAAGAGTCTCCAGATCATGCTCATGTACTTTATAGCATGTTGAGCAACGCTGCTGAAACACGCAAGATATGCTGAGAGAGTGTGTTAAGAAAGGTTGAGACTTAGTAAGATCTCCCTCTTCTGCTTTACCTGTACCACACTGTGCTGGACAATGTGGTGACTGCTAAGTTTCAGACAGTAAGGATAATCAACAGGCCTGATTTAAGTACCAGTTAGTGAGTAAACACTGCTTTCCAGCACAAACCACCCCTCTCAGTATGCCCAATGCACTCAGCAAGTCCCATTTTATCCGGTACATGAATTGTAGAAGACAAGCCACTACACAAGTAGAGAAAGACCTTTTCCAAATTCCTCTCAAAGAAGTCACTAAGATGGAGGAAGAAAGTACTATGCCACACTTGCATTGAGGACACCTCTTGGTACTATCACCAGACCATCTGCTGGTAAGACACACAGGTGACAGCTCTCTTTCCCTAAATAAATTGCTGTTGTGGAGAAACAGACTCGCTATCAGTTTCCATAGTGGTAACCATAGGCCTCAGAGAAATGTATTGATCTCTAGCAGGCAAACACTGGGAACCAGCCATTCCTACCACTCAGGCTTCAGATAGGGTGGGTGTGCAGCTGCTATAGGTAAGAGAAGTTTGCAACAAAGAGCACTGTCATGGCTATGAGGCTCTGAATTTGACCTGCCTTCCTTTCTGTACCTCAGAACAGTTAAAACCCCAGATAAATATTTGTGTGCTTCATCTTAGACCTCTGCTAACCTTTCACCACCTTGTCTTGAGTGCATCTCTGTTTATCTTATCCTGAATAACATAAAGCTTTCTTATCTAAGCAACAACTGTCTCCCAGCATTAAGGCTTACCAATCAGCTGCCTCCCTGATCTGATGTGCACCCCAAATGTCTCTGAGTGTCCCCAACCACTGTGAACTCAAGAGTTTTTGCTGGGCATGCAGATCCATGCAGGAGCCCAGCATCTGTGAGAAATGCTGCTCAATACTTCTGAGCCTTCCCAAGTTGGGTGTGACTTGTGCAAATCATTTTGTTTTTTCTGTGGGGCCAACAGGACCAAACTTTAGGCACAGAAATACTTCTCAAAATCGGAGTCAGGTCAGAATGTGGCTCCACAGAATTACTATATAGCAAAAGTAAGATTATTTCTAAAGCAATAATAAAGCCACTTGAGATTTTTCTTTAATAAGCAGCAATATCTCATATTACTTATTGTAGTACACAGCATTGGCAACTGACATAATACTTCCCCCAAAAGGATTATGCAACTTGGAAATATTCATATACAAGGCAAATCGGAAGTCAGCCACAAAATGGAACAAGAAAGGACATCAGGGTGCTAACAAAGGATGAGGAATATTTTTCTCATGAAATGCTTGAATCAAGAAAGAAACAGGAATTGAAACAGAGCAGGATGCTGTCCCTGCCTGATTTCATGATGATCTTTACTCTTGGAACAAGAAAGCACAGATGTTCATTGGAGACTAGGAAACCAAAGGAAATACCAAGATGAAAGGGCACAGCAAAGATGCATGCCTCTCTGTATCATTTAGGTGAAAACATAAAGATTGGTGGGAAGATATTTAATTAGCAACTGAAATAAGCCAAAGTGAGGAAGGGGAGAAACCCCAAAAGACCTAAGTACAGATACTGGAGATGGCTTGAAACCACTGGTAATTTCCTATAGATTCACTGAAGTCAAGTTACAAATGAGGCCCACCAGGTCCTACTTAAATCACCTGTTAGTCTACAGACTATTAGAGAGCAGGGTGGTACTGGTATGTAATTACTGCCGGTACATGCATGCTTAAGCAAGGTAAGATCAAAGTCACTTAAAAATAAAAAGGGGGATAAACCCAACATTTTAAGCAAAAGGTTTGTAATTATGGGCTTGAAATTGAAATGCTTAGACAAAAACATCAGCAAATACTCATCTATGCCACCTAGTTCTCTGGATACCATACACTTTATAGGTATCCGTACATTTTACAGGGCTCAGTCCAGTCTGATTCCAATCACTGTACATCACGAACAGCAGGTTCTACAGAACACAGTCAGAGCTGCTTTGCATTAGCAAGGTTTGTCCAAAACCCTCCTCAAAATCTGCCCTCCTGAGTATCAGCCCATTAACCCAACCTGAACAACTCTTCTCCCTCTGTCCTTGTGCTGTGCAAGTATTTGCTGCCAGCCTTCCTTTCCCCCTGCCAAGTCTTTTCCCACCCAGCTTTAACTTTGTTTCCCACACTGAACTCTTTAGCCTCCCCGTGCCCTCCATCTGAGTGTGGGGTGTCCAGGGTGAAACTTACGGTGCTCGGTCGTGGTTCAATCCGTTCTGTCTTTGTGAATTTATTGGAGGTAGAACAGGTTTGCTGTTAATCTCAAGCCCTCTCCGCAAAGTTTCCCTGATCTGCTCCGTATCTGCGAAGAGAAATGTTTTAAACATGACTTAGAGTCCTCAGAAACCTCACAGCCACAAGGAAATGTCAGTTGGTTGACTTTCTTTAAGGCCTGTTTCTATGGTGTGTTTCATCTAAACTTCCCCTTCAGAAAGAAATGAAGATCCCTTAAGGGTTAATTCTTATCAGCTCTTTCTGCACCTCAGGAGCCATTTCACTTTGTAAAGTCAGACTGAATTCTCTCAGTTTGGGCTGCGATGTTGTGTCAGGCAAGGAGAGCTGGAACCTTTTGTACTGAGCCCTCCTCAGGAGGAAATTCTGAGTAGCTTTGTATCCTTTCATAAATGAGGTGTTTGCTGTTTCTGCAGCTCCCACAGAACCTCATGACACTTCCAGCCTTCGCACTGGAAGCCACTTTCCCCATTAGGCGTAACAGGAATTTGTTCCTTTACCAAACGAGCGCAAGGATGTTCCCAAGCTTTTGCAATTGGCTTTACAAATCTGTTGATTAATTAACGACAAGATTCACAAAAGAAAGGAATTTCATCCAGGGCAAACTTTAGCCTGAAGCTCACATTTGAAAATAAACTGCAAATTATGCAGTTCAGATGCAGTCTTCTTACTTTTTCATCTTCCTATAACGTGTAATGGCCAAATACTTCAATAGGAGCCTTGCTTTCCTTTCTTAGAAGTTTCCTCATCTTTTTCTGAGAAATGTGGGAATTGGGTAGACAAAAAAATATCCAAACAATTTAAAAGTCTTTTGAAGGCTATACAAATATCATCACATTTACCAGTCTTGGGCTCTCCATTCGCAGAGCTGAGGGAAAACAGCCTTTTTAGATTCAATGCAGCTCAAAATATTTGCACAGGAGCCAGAAGGAACCCTATATGTATTTAAATCCTCTTTATTTTACCATGGACTTTAAACCAAGTAAGACACCATTCCTGTGGAAACCATTATTAATTCCAGGAAAACAAGCCCTTCAATTTGACATTGTTTCACGCACTTGAAAGGCAACACGTGTAATTTCAAGCACGTGCAGTGGCGATGACATCTGGTACCCTGGGATGGCATCTCACTGCAAAGGGGAACTCCACTGTAATTTATTTCTTCTTTCCAGAGTTCCGGATTTGCAAGATCACTTGAGTTCAGCTACAGAAATGTGCGGGATCAGTCTAACTTGCCCCCCAAGAAGTGACAATGTTAGTGAAGGAGCACAGCCTAGGAAAATGCAGTTGCTTCACCTTGCAGGTGTTCACAGTCCTGGTTTCTTTCACCCAGTGCTCAGTTTAACTGTGCAGATTTAGATTAGAAATAGCCTAAAACCTGAAGGAAGCACTTAAGACAAAACAACACAAAGATCTCTTTTCTTCTCCCCTGCCTTACACAGAGGCCACACCAGAATTCCTTTCCCTCTCCTGTGGCATACTGAGCCTTCCAGCAACTGTAGTGTTCGTTACGAACCCCAAGATGCTGCATGACTCAGCCCACTGCCCAGATCCATCAGAAAACAAGCCAAGAGGCTCTGACAGTGACTCAGTTCAGGACCTCTCACCTTTTCCAGAGAGCCGCCGTGGCTGGGTCCCAATGCAAATGCTCCTGCTGTCTTCATCATCCTCTGGGGGCCGGCTGAGATCGTCCCAGGCACATTTGGCACTCACTCCACTCAGGTTTGAGCCATCTGTCTCAATCCCTTTGTCCACTCTCTCCTGCTTGAAAAGATCCAAAACCCCAAGATGTTTTTGGGTGTTGCTTGAACCCGAGCTGGAACCCACCCTGGTTCAACCCAACCTTCACATGACCCTGCTTTGTGGCCAGTTTCCACTCTCTGTCCTCCATACGTTGATGTATCAGCTAACAGTGACTGCACATTCAGCAAAATTAGGGAGCAGGTCTGAAATGGAACAAACCTTTTCCCTAGCAGGTTTGCCTGAAGTCCTACTCCTTTCCCACTGCTTCATTACACAGCCCTAGCAGGCACAAGGCAGGGAAAGGGAGAGGTGGAAACTGATGGATTGGGGTATGCAGTGTTGCTACTTTCAGTGTTAGCTCTGATTTTACACCAACTCAAAGTACATTATACACTCCTCTATGAAGCACAGCTTGGCAGTCTACCTAGTGTATGTCAGTGACAACAAACTCCTGAATAGACTTGTTCTCTTTCCAAGATTACCACGGAATCCCACAATGAAAAGCGCTCAAAGAGAGACTCATCATTCACGAGAGCTCATCACTGGCAAACCAGACAACCACTGCGCTTTTCAGTGTGCTGGGGTGTTCAGCAAAGGGCAAATGTGCAAGGAGACACAGGTCTGTTCACAGTGTCAAAGCTTTTGCATAGCTTTATCAGCAAAACACACAAACTTCCTGCCTTGCAAGTTGGACTTTCCAAGCATGCAACCACCATTTGGGCCTCATAAGGTGTCATACACCACCCACACGCAGCTGGATGCTCCCAGACACCATGCATTTTGTCCAGGATGTGTGCATCTGTAGCCAGCAAGACTGCTGTAAGCTACAGCCAACGCTTCCACAGGACACCTACCTGCTGGGGAAACTGGCATTAGTCTGAATTTCCACCTCTGCCCCACAAGGGGGTAATGTTGAGCTGAACAAACTCGGGGCTGAGCTACACCGAGGAAGGGCTGCTCTTACCGCTGTCACCTCTTCCCAAACCCGCTTACATTCAGTTCCTCCTTGCCCAGCAGTGCCTTAGAAAGAGCATTGCCTGTTCTTGTGACCATTCAAGAGAGGATCTGAGCAGCTCCAAGATAAGCACAAGCGCTCAGGGTGTGGTTGCACAGCAGTGTAAACTGATGTAATTCTAGCGGCTGCAGTCCCACCCTCCTCCATGTGCTCCTACCCCTTCCCTTGAGCCAACTCTTTCTTTCAGCTGGATCACCTCCCTTAACTGGCTCTTTGGCCCAAGCCCGTGGCTGAGGGCAGGATCAGAGCAGTCCTAACTTATACTTAAGCATTCATGAGACTGCTTTCCGTCTGCCTCTCTCCCTGAAAGCCTACTCCTCATTGGGATCTTCCTCTGGCGTCAAGGGGAATCTGGCTTCTATGAAAACGTCATAGGAAAATCTGAGAAATAACAAATCTGCTGGGATTTTCTTTTGTTATATCCTAAACATAAAATTAGTTGTTTTACCCAGAAATAGAAGTTGTGGAAAAAGAAGTAAAAATACATCCGATCCTACACATGCAGAACAATGCTCAGAGTGAGATTTAGCACGTGGCTCCTTTGGGAGCCCTCCGCAGTGCTCTGTGAGGACCCACATCAGCCTTGTCAGCATGGTTGTTTTTTGTTCCAGTGACTGGGGAAGCATGGGAAGACCACCAAACTTGCCCTTTAGCAGGGAACAGAAGAGCCCAAAGGGCCCTGAGGACTCCATCAATACAATCTTGTGGGATGTGCTTCTCCATCCCCACAAGTCAGGGCCCCCACTCACAGACATAGCTGGGGCCCCCAGACAGTGCACAGAGCCTTGGGGAGGGGGAAAGGGACTCGTCATCTGCATCTCAGCTGGTCTGCAGAGCACTTCCTCAGGGGAAGAAGCACAGCTCTGCTGGCATCCCCTGGAGATCAAGGGGGGCTGATGGAAACGATCTGGCCTAAGGCAGTCAAATTTGCATGCCTTTTTTATAACGTTTGCAAGTATTGAAGGGGGGGGGAACCCCCAAAAGCCTAACCAGTAGCTGGGGCAGTGCACAGCTTCAGTCCATCTTTAGTCAGCAGAGATGTGCCTGGACTGAGAAGCTCTTCTTCCTCCCTTGAAAGGGCAGTCCGAGCAGGAGCTTGGAGTAGCCCAGGGCAAAGGAGGTTCAGCTTTTTCTTTCCTCAAAGAAAGGATGTTTCTGTCCCATTTTCCTCTCAGCATGTGGGAGGGATGCTCTGAGGCTCTTGTAAGTCATTGATCCCTTTCTGCATGAGCCAGAGCACTGCAGTGTGACCCGCAGAGCAGCAACCACAACTCAGGAAATTCAAATCAGCTTTATTCTCTTCTGACATATCTGCTAAAACAGAAGCGAAGCACTGAGAATCAGCGCAGAGCTGGGGACCAACAAGGATTGCTTGACAGTGCTGCCAGGGAAATCTGAATGGCCTACAGGGAAGCCTGGCTGAACAGAAAACAGCCAGCGTTGCCACAGTGTTAATTGCCGACATCCTGGGATGACATCTTAGTTGGGATCCATTCTCAGCAACTCCGAACAGAAAGTACAGCTGCTGCTGCCAGGGCTGGGTTTAGGCCTCAACCAATTCCCACAGACACAATGCAGCCTCAAAACAAGCTCTGCCCGCTTCCCAGGCAGGCACCATGCCTGTCTGCTCTGGGGAAAGTTGTCTGTTTTCCCTGCCGGCTCTCTCTTTCCTCTCCACCTATCTTCCAGTGCTGCCTTTCACCTCTCACACACCCTGTACCACCACCAAGAAAATGCCAAGTGAATGACACTTTATCCTTTCCCCACTAATTAGAGCAGGAGGTGCATAACATGGCTGAGCCCAGTCCAGCTCCCTGCACTCAGCAAAGGCTCTTTTTGGGACTCTTGCACCGCAGGAGCAGGTTTCGCCCTGTGAATCCCCAGGGGCTGCAGCAGCAGAGCAGGAAGGAGGTTCACACACACATCTGTGCACACACACTACTGCACGGGCAAGAGAGAACAGAAACAGGAATGTCTTCAATGTGAGGAAGTCCGGAAGGACCACAGACATAGCAGCTTTCGGAGGCAGGACACACTGGTGAGGCAGAGGTACTCTATTTGCCTTAACTTGCTGTGGCTGACTCAGATTCCAGTAAGCTGAGCTCCTTTTCATTTACAGTAAATTGAAGAAAACCCTGTTATCATTAGGAATCACCAGTGTGCAGAGAACAGAAATACCTCCAGGAGGTAACAGGGCAACATTTTGAAGAGCCTAAAAACTTTATAGGACCCGCCGTGGCATTAGTTCCCACACTGTGGGACACTTGTGGAACATTTTTTTGTGTGTGTCTCAGACTGGGGTTATTTTAGACGAATAAAACCTTAAAAACAGTAAAAGTAGAATTTGGCTTTCTTTGTAAGCTTTCAAAACAAGAAATGCTGTGAGGCAACTGAGGGTTAGCAGATGCAGACATGCAGACCATAAGCAAATGCAATGGCTTGTACAAAACGTGCATATATGCATGTGGCCTACCAGGCTAAGCCGTAAGTTCTCTGTTAAAGGCAAATACACAGTGATTCACTGAACCAAGGCCAGAAACACACTGGATTTGCCTGGGAGACATGTGCCCCAGTACCACAACTCTGCTGAAGGGATGCAGAACTGCCTCCTAAACGAATGGATCAGCAGTAGCCCATGGGACTGTGACCCCCTCCATAGAGGTCCTATGCTGATCTTTAAACATTAGAAATTAACTTAACCTCTAAAGAAGAATATGTCTTCCTACATGGACTAGTAATAACTGCATGAGATACTTTTGGCTTCCTATTATTTCTCAGACCACACTAACTGCTTGGCCTCAAGTGACATCCTACAGGAATGAGCTACACTATCACATTCGCCGTGAAAAAATATTACTTACTTGTTTTTGAGTTTTCTGCATGTTACATCTCCATATGCTTGCATACAAAACAAAGGATTAATTTCCTAATAATGTCTAAATCTTGTATTGTTCTATGTTCTTTTATCTTCTTCTATTTTCCTTCTTTCCAAAACATGCAGCCCAAATCTTACCAATTTGTTTCATCAACGAGATTCTGTTTTCCTGGTCCCCCTTCTCTAACTTTCTTCCTAGAGCTGCCATCCACCTGGGACTGGATATGTGCAGTCCTGAACCACCTCTGAGAGAGCAAAGGGAGTCTCTAATACTTTTCCAGCACTATAGCAAACATTGAGAAGATAACAGCACCTTTATAGAAAATAACAGAACGGTTTATACCATTAAACCAATTCTCCCTCTGGCTACTACAAAAGACATGACATTTTATAAACTAAAGACATACTTGTAGATGTGGGTCAATCTCAAATATTGTCTCTCCTCTTCGCATATCTGTTATCAACCAGGGGCCTCCAGCTCTACAAAGAAAGAAAGGAAGTCAATAAACCAAACAAGCACTTTAGCTCATACTCCCCAGCAGAGACCTCAGAGTGGACTTGTACTGGAAGGAAACACAAGACAGAGTTTAAAAGAAGCCTAGAAGCCCCTCTGTGTTGTGCATACATCTCATAACATGCATTCGTCCTTTACATTTCCCAAATACATAATAAAAGCCCTCCATGACATAGCTATTCCTTGCCTGGTGTCTGGCATCACCAAGTCCGGCCCCCTGTCCTCTGTGTGGGCCCACTTACTCATACGAGACTGAGCTGAGTTTTAATCTTACAAGTAACTGAATTGGGACTGGAAGTCCAATGTAGCCTGGGTCTAAGGAAGATGGACAAAGCATAGGGGCAAGGTTTATACCTCTGCTACATATCTAAAGATGCAGCAGGGTCCCAGTGGGACTGTACTTTTTGAAGAGATCAGCAATCACGTTCAGTACCATAAAAAGCCTCCTGCTCTGATAAATAGCCTCACAATAGACATTTTACCTAGTTGGTACTTAATGGCCAAGTACTCAGGATGGTTCAGGGAAAGCTTTGTTCTTCATTAGCATTAAAAGTCAGAAGGGTCAAGATGTTTCCCAACAAAGGTGATAGAAAACGGATTACTGTGAAGATGAACTACTCAGAAACTTTTCTTGGGGTCACGGTGCAGGCAGACTGCAGAAGTCAGCCTCAGATGGTGCTTTTCATTTGAAATAAAAACTGAAGTCTGTTGGAATTGCCATAAAAATTGTCATTATTTTCATGAGACACTTTATTATTGTAGTCAAAAGCCCCCTCCTCTGGCCTTGTCTGTGTTACAGTCTCCTAAAATGGGAGCAATAAAAGTTAGTATTTTCTAGTTTTTCAGAGGCATTGATAGCCACTCTGTTTTCACATCCCTTTGGAAGCTGAGAATTATTACCTGCAGAGGTGTGACCTGCTTCAGTTCCTTACTGGGGTAGCAAGGGACTTTCACCCCGACTCCACATCACCAGCCTAGTAGTTTGCAGTTTTGCCTTTGAATTATACACATTTGGGTCCCGTTTTATCCTTGGAAAGGTGCTTTTACCACACCACAAATACCCCAAACCAATATGAGAACAGAGTGAGAGGGGTGCTATATCTCTATTAACTTAGAGGAGCAAAAGGAGCTGCAAGCAGCATTTATTGTCTTGGGGTACCAGAAACAAAGCTTGCAGCTAGACAAATTCACTCTGCTTGAGATAGTATAGTAGTGCCTAGAAGGGAAAGGTTCAAGTTTAAAGAGTTCATCAGCAAAGGCTCTTCCAAATAATCAAAGGCCATCGTGACACTAGAGAGTATACTATTGTACCCAAGAACACATATGCAGAACTATTTTGTTTTAAATAAAAAAGTGACCTTTTGCACTACAATCACATAGCAATAACTTCCACTACATATAAGAGAAAACATTTAAACAAAACACTTGCAAGCCAAAAAAGTTTAGCTGCAACCAGGCAGCAAATAAAGCATCATCATATCATTTAACAGTTAAAAGTGATCTCCTTCTTAACCCAGTGACATCTTTGTTTTGCTATGGGAGAAATAACAATAAACTTCACTTGCATGAGCACTCCTCGTGTTCTAAATTGGCTCACCAAGAGTGGGGCCAGTTTAAGAGTGACTTTCTCACTTTCAGTCCCCAAGCTTTGCTAGGCATTGCAAATCAGACCTTCCTTCCTTCTGAACTACACAGAGAGGTCATCAGTAAGTTATCCCAGCTCTACCAGGAAGAGCCAATGAGAAAATACTGCAGGCATAAAAGGAAAGAAATTAAGTTTTCAAGACCTTGTTCTGTTTCACCATGAACATGTGGACTTCTACACGCATTAATCTGCCATCTAAGTGTCTCTGCGTGAGAACAGATTTGCAATGAATTCCCATCTCTTGCTACAGCACAGGATTAAGTAAGTTCTATCAACAAGTTAAAGACTGTTAATGAAAATAAACAAGTGAGTTGCTCTCCACGGGAATGCTCCCCTATATGGGCTATATGAGCACTTACACTGGGACAGTCCGAAGCAGTTCCAATATCCCTTGCCCATTCCACTGCTGAGCCGCATGCAGTTCCTCAGTGCAAACCCCAACAATCTGGAATAAATAAAAATAGGGATACTAAACTGAATGGGAACCCGGCAAGAACTGTACAGAAAATGTACCATGTGGTACTGGATCAAACAGTGCAGGTACAGGGGGAAAGCACCAATCTTTAAAGTAGGTGAGCAAGGACAAACTGAGCCTGAGACAATAGAAGGATTCTGCAATTCCTTATGCCCTCTCACTACACTTGTCATGGGAAGTGCCCTGGTCATGTAACATTTAATCTTGCACACAGTGTGTAACTATGAGGAGAGCCTGATGATAAATCAGGGTTTACTGAAGATCCACTAATCTGTTCTCACTTTTCAATCTAGTCCATACAAGACAGGACAGGTTAGGGTCTGAGCACATGCAAAACACTGCTCTGTCAGCCAACTGCTAGGGGCAAATGCAATACTGCACCCGCAATTTCAGTCAGGCAAGGGACTTGCTGCCACGAGGGAGTGCTTCAGTGCTTATAAATCCTTGACCAACTCAGTTTGCTGACTGGTTGGTTACATCTTACCCAGCACCATAAAGTAAAGCTGCTTACACATCACATAATCCACTCACCACTGCAGGCAATTGCAGACTTCTGCCTTCCTGTATAAAGTAGGATGTGTTTGCTTTCCTGTATAAGGTATAACTGAGCAATAGCAGATGTCTCTCACAGCAGCTGAGATTGCCACTTCAGATGAAGGGGTGAAACACCCTTCAGCTGACAGAGGATGGCAGTTTATTTCTGATCCATCATCTGCTGCCTTGTGGCTTTGAGGATAATGATTCGCTCTTTGGGATGAAAAGTTATTTTAGCCGTGCTTTTCTACTTTCTTCCTCAATACTCTAAGTCTTTTCCAATGACACTGAAGTTTTGGCCAAAATTTGTTGAACTGACGTTTTATCAGAAAGGAGAAAAGCTGAAAACTAAGTTCTGAAGAGCAGCAAGCAGAAGTGCATGATGCGCCTTTGCCACAAGCGTGAATCTGCACTGATAGAGATCTGTGTGGAAAATCATCAACGTCAGCACACAGCCAGCCCTGCATACCCTACTTCCCCTGCCCCTTGCAGACCTCACTTTCTCAGGACCCAGCCCTTGGAGACGCACTTCATCCCCACCCATCTCCCAGGCTTCCTCCAGCAACGGCTTGAATCACCCTTGCTTCAGGACACCCCTCCCTGGGCCTTCACTCACTAATTACATACAAACAGCAAGACTCTAAACAGGAAATTAATTTGTGTTCATTCTTTTCTTTTTGCAATCGTTTATCCTCAAGGGTCAAAATAAATCCATAACAACAAGCATCAAACAAAGGGGAAAACTAAGTCAACCATATGTGCTGTGGAAGATGAGAGGCCAAGAGCCTCAGGATGAAACAAGTTGACTGTCCTTTGATCCAGCACAGCTGGGCACTAAAGGAGAGATGAGGACTCATGCAGCACTAACTGGGGAATCAGCCAGGAATCACCCTGCTTATCTTGGCACCTTCTCTCCTTCCAGGTCCCACAACTCACCTTTCACTGACTAAACCCACACCCATCCCTTTCTTGTTGATGAAACAGGGACTTTTGGGCACCTCAGAAAATTCAGGAAGGCCTCTGCCCTTGCACAGCAGTTACCTTGTGTAGGTCTATGGAAATGGAGCTTCCACTTACATGTTGCAACTACTAGTGAAGGACAAATGGGAGCAACTTGAAGCTTATATTGTAAAATACAGACACTTGCATTTTCCCACAGGATGGAAACTTTTCCATAGAGCAGGAAGAAATAACCAGTTGGCATAAACTCTTCTACTAAGGCTATTAACTTCAATATGCAATTTAAAAATATCCAAAGCAGCCCATCTCTAAGAGACACCACTGAGAAGGACTCTGGGAAAGCAAGCAAACCTGTTTGGCCAAGGAAGCTCCCCTCACTAACAGTCAGGTTCAATTGCAAGGGAATTTTTAAGTGTTTCTTTTGCAAAGCAAAACTGAACCTTTCTTAAACAGCACATCAATATAGGAAAGCTCACTTAGCCCCCGAAGAGTCTTTGTGTCAATGCTGCAAGCTACATTTCTGCCATTAAATAATGCTAAAGCAACTCTGAGTTCTGCTCCAAACTCTTCTTTTCCTGGAACTCAAACCAGTGGATCACTTACCATAGAATTAATTTGAATTTAGCTCTACATTACCTTTTAAAAGCGTTTCTCTCAGCTTTTTTCCCCTATGTTCATGTTTGGAATTTCAGAGCAGTACCGTAATATTCAACTCCAGCTCTGTTGCAGGGTGTAAAACTTCTCTTGATCAGATAGACCTCTATCTTGAGAGCTGAGCATGCCATTGCTCAATCCCCGTAAAATGCTTACTGAATACCTCCAGAGTAACAACTCGAAGATCAAATCCATGGTAATCAAATAAGGAAGAAAGGTGGAAGACCGGATAATAATCATCTGACTTATCAGAGCTAAATTAAATGTACACATTAGCTGCATTCCACACCAGGGAGGTGACACTCAGAGCCACTGTTTCTGGCTCATACCTGTAGGAAAGTAACAACCCCAAAAGGAGTCTGCACCGGCTGCATCTGAGGGTCTTCTGTCAGCAGCATGTGCTGGATTCTGGATTCACTGTTGTCCAAAGGGCTGTGCCACGATACATGGTCACCGCTGCAGAAGGTGTTTTCTGCAAGAAAGACAAGCATGAAATATTTAGTCTGTGCAGTCTGCCAGAATATTCCTTCTCTTAGCATCTGCTCCTGACCCCTGTCTGTTTCAGGACAGTCACTGGTGTGACTCACCGCTGAGCCATCTGAATTCAAGAACTGACTTTAAAATTGCTCACTCTTGAGTCCTGCAGCAAAAAATGGGTGTCCTGCTTTGATATTAATCCCAAACCCAACAAACAAGATTAGCTTTTCTCTCATTTACTATTAGTCTCATTTTGTGAGAGAGTGCAGAGTCAGCAGGCCATGCTGGATGCCGATGGGACACCAATTCATACTTAATTTGCAGCTCTGATTTGCCACAGAGAAAAGATGCTGAAAAGTGACTTAAACACAAATAACATTTTGCTATGTCTAATAAAAATCCACAGTCTGCAGCCCAATTTGTGAGGGTCTCAGTCAAAGCCACTTTCTCTCCCAGCTGTCTGGTGGCTGTGGTGCAGAATTATAATTAATACGTTCCTTCCTTCCCAAACAATGAGAAAACCAACAGGTTATATATTTCCCTCTATGTCAGAATAAAGTGCATTAAAACAAAGAGACAGAAATTATCCTTCCTTCTTCACGACTGCAAGCATTCCTTTCTTTTCTTTGTCTCCTACTTAGAAAGACAAAGCCCCAGATAATCCCATGTTCCACAGCTGGTGAATGCTACAAAGCCCACCAGAACCCATCTGTATGTTGCTGCCCCATCATAGGAAAGGCTAATACGTGCTTTCTGAGTGAGCTAGAAGTAAAACAACCAACCATGACCATTTCACACCAGTTATAGCATGGTCCAATTGCACACAGTTCCTAGAAGATGTGTGAGATAATGCTGCCTAGCTGACTGCCTTGTCCCTGGGTCTTGTGCTTGTCTCACTCCAGACAGAGCTTTTATAGCACACACAAGTAAACAGCCTGGAATACACATTCTGCTCTCTGACAGATGTGTAGTGCCCCAGGGATAAAGCAAGTACTGCCTGCCTGCTACCAAAGCCAGTGGCAAGCACAACACCCCTCTGCCTGACCAAGCTCACTGATGAAGGCAGTCTGGGCTGCTGTTCTTACCATGGTCTCTCTCAAGGCCATGCTTACCGGAGAGGCTTTGCCCTCCTTTACTGGAGGAGGACTAGGACTTATACTGCAAACAGGAAAATGTTAGTGGTTACTTGAGCTGCTGTTTGCCAAGACTGGAGCATCTCATATGATGGGACCTCAGAGCATCTCATGATTCAGTAGAGTGCAGCTATGACCAGATGTGGTCCTAGATCTTCACCTAACCTTCCCACATCACCTTCCAAATACATGTCAAGAGGACTTAACTATCTATAGGGCATACTTGAAAATCCTTGAACATGGCAGCTTCTGCAGTGACAAAAGAGAAACAGCATTTGCCAGTAATTGTTGCTTTGTCCCCAGTCACATTAAAAAACAGATACTGAGGAACTGGGTCCTTGCACACCACTCACTGTGCACTCACACCACCACAACTGTGTGCATGTACTCTTGGCCAGCAGCAAGTGCAGGATGCTTCAAGGGAGCCATCAGCAGGTAACAAGAGTTATCTTGCAGTTGCTGTGGTTAAAAACACCAGCAGTCTCAGTGATGAGCTAACCCAGGCTCACCCGTTCAAGGATTTCATGCAGGGCGTCCCGGGCAACTCGTAGTTTCTCCACCAGGTGTCCCCATTGGTGTGCATTTCAACATTTATCATTACAGGGTTTTCACATGAATGTCTTGGACTGCTTTTTCCATTGAAAATTAAAATAAACTCCAAATACCATAAGGAAGTTGGCCAGAAAATCGAGGCATGTAACAGAAGTGTTGTGATAAGTAAGGGAATGTTTTCCTTAGTTAAAATTAGGAATGAAAGAAAACATAGCGAATGCAAGCTGCTTGAAAGAGTTTATCCTGAGGTACTCTTTGCACACTTTCAGCTCTGCAACTGAAAGGAGCGGCTCAGATATTACTTTAGTTTTAAAGTTGGGAAAACATAAGCATATAAAAGTGAAAAGCATAACTTATGGGTTGTTTTTCTTTAGTATCAAGACTGGATTAAAGAAACCACTTAGAATATTGCAAAGGATCTTCTGATATTTTCCAGGTTAGCCAAAATGTGGCTGATTGCATTTTTGGTTTAAATGATAAAAGCCTCTCAGTCACAGTTTTCAGGAAGGAAACAAAGCCACAAAGCGCTTATTCTTGGGCCCTGTCTTTCCACCACAACACTTTGCCCATCAAATGCTCACACAATTCTATGCTGATCGATCGCTGCGTTTCACTGCTGGTGCTGCTTCTCCTGGGAAAGCCCAGCCCGTTTAGAGCAGGTTTTCAAATGCAAATGTCTCTGCTGGAAACCCACCTGTTTATATCCATGTGAACACTGAGCACTTAGAAAACCTCCCTCTGCCTTGCATGCACACCAACACCACAAAATTCACACTGACTACTCAATTAAATCACACAGAAACACTGCACATAACATGAAGCTGAATTAAAACCTGTAGGAGTGCAAGAAATTCAGAATTACAGCATAAACCTCAGTTCTTCACTTGGTGCATTGTAACCAATGTGGAATGTGAGATACAAGCTCTTCTACAGAGACCACTGCACTGAGGACAGCTCTAATTGCAGCACTTGTAGCCACAGAAGCGAAGAAATTACAGAAAGAAAGGACTTGATAACTTTATTTTGCCTAATGCTGGAAAGGAGGATGAAGGAGGATGAGCGTTCTCCTTTCCCACCTTTCACATTCATGTTTTCAAAACAAGACGATCAAAGTCTTTCCAAGCATTTAAGTTAGTTGGAAAGTTGCCAGGGAGGTTGTGAATGCTCCATCCCTGGCAGTGCTCAAGGCCAGGTTGGACGAAGCCTCGGGTGACATGGTTTAGTGGGAGGTGTCCCTGCCCATGGCAGGGGGGTTGGAACTTGATCTTAAGGTCCTTTCCAACCCTAACTATTCTATGATTCTAAGTTTTAAACAACGTTTTAGCCAGAAAATCCTAAAGCTTTCATCCTCCAAAGTAAATTTATAACTAAACTTGGGGCTTTGAATTTAATTTATGTTGAATAGAACACTAAACACCCCGATAAATCCTCAAACTCATCACAGCATGGCCAGATGTGAAAAGTCTCCTGTGGTTTTTGCACCTTACATTTGCAGCGCTGTTGATAACTCACTTTTCACAACCTGCCTTTCATCCACAAACAGGTAAAATGCTCTAGTATTTCCTACATGTACGTATGTATTTCCATAAACCCAAGAGATGAGTGGGCACAGGACACGCTCAGGTACACGAGGAGCACAAACACCTTAAAAGAAACAACACACTTCAGTCAGACGTGCCTGAAGTCAGCTTTTTGTTCCCCAAAATGCAAACCTGTATCTCGTAAACCATGCAGACTAACCAAAGGAGCAGCCTGCCATCTCCAAACTAATTTCTGAGATCCGTTTTGTATTGCTATGAATGAAGGACGGGACTAGGACCTTGAGAGATAATGATGCCAATATGGGTCTCTCAACAGCACTCAGTTTTAGCGCCATACTGAGAAGTACACATTTTGATGCCTTCTGCAGATATCAAATGAGACTCCTACACTCACAGCTGGAAGCTACTTATATACAAAATGAAAATGCAGACATGACGATAGGTATCAATAAACACGTAAAGGAAATATTGTATGGAAAAACAAAAGATTACAGGAAGAAGTTTATGTTTGCAGAGCTCTGACCTAGTCTAACAGGACTCATTGCTACAAATATCTCAGAACGATTTGTAGTTTTAAGGCAAAACATAACCCCCCTTTCAGATAAGCACAGAACACTCCTTTACGAATTATCTCAGTTTAGTAAAGCTGAAAGTTTAGAGCCTCAGCAACAAAGCAAGTTCTGCAAGGATCGTATCATAACACTGATGCTGTCCCAGCCCTTGTAGATTTGGGAACTACCTCTGCTCTATACTAGGTGATTAAAAAGCAACTTTTGATCCAAAACTTTTCACTCTTAACAAGCTCTGGCATGACAACCCTTTTGGCATGTTGTAATTGTGTGCAGATTAGCACCTGTGGGAAAACTTCTTACTGGCTTTGAGCAGGGATTGAACACATCAGATGGTACCAAAGTCCTTTTGCACTGTATTTCTGAATGAGAGAAACTGCATTGGTGTCCAGAATCCAGGAAAAGGTGAGACGGCTTTCAGCAGTGAAAAATCATGGGCTTCTACTGGACAAGCATTTCTCTACTACTACAGGAGGGCAATGATCAGCCTGGGAGCAGCAAATGCCAGGACTCAGGTGTCTTTTCCTACTGCAAAGACTTCTGCCTCTGAATTCCCATGCTACCTGACTGAGCAGCAAAGCCAACAAGAGATGTGGTTATGTCCAGGGAAATAATTTTATATAATGGGAGAACTCTGATGTACTCTTGTGTAAATAGCAAGCCTCAAACCAGTTTGTATGTTCCCATGCTCAGGAATAAGCTTGGAGAAGACTTCTAGGAACAGGGGATCTACAGATGCTCTCTTCTCTGGGGTGTGCACATTGTGGATGGACTCCTCATTGCCTAAGGAGGAAGGAGCTTTTAACTAAAGCTTTTATTGCAGCTATGGCACACACAGGAAGACCCTATCTAGGTTCCCTCATGTCTAAGGTTGAGTGTGACACACCACCACTCTTCACCACCACAGGGAGCACTGTCAGCATTTTTACTCATCTGCTTCTTTTTACAATCTAAAAACCAAGTTTCTCCAAGAGCCCTACTACTCTGTTAAGTCTGTCTGACACTGGCCAACAGGTTCAAACACCATTTGTGTAGCAGTGTCAGCTACCATGAATGAAACAGCCTTGTTTCCGTAGATGAGCACAGCGAAAACAACAGTCACCAGAAAAAGTTATCAGCACCTCACCAGGGAACTGTCAAATCCGTCGGACAGACGGCAAGAAAACATCTAACCATCAACAGGAGGAATTAAATAGCAAA